TATATGATTATATACATAAGAGTTCTGAATTTAGATTATGCCTTGATGTTTCTTTCAGTGTTCCATAACTCCTTAAGCAGAGATCTGTTTTCTCATTAAAAACAATGTACCATTAAGTATATATTAGATACCTTTTCCACTTAAAAACCTGCCAATTTTTCTGCACAAGTATTCTGTCTTTGGCTGGGGTAGAATTAATTTTCTTCACAGAGTTCTTGCCTCTGTTTCAGCTCATGGTGTGGCCCAAGGAAGCTAGGGGTGTATGGGAGGTTGGGAGGAGACATAGCTGGGATAGGTGACTCAAACTGACTAAAAAAGGATATTCCATACCATATGACATCATGCCCAGGATATAAAGCTGGGAAGAAGAAGAAAGAAAGGAGGACCTTAGGAGTGATGGTGTTTGTCTTCCCAAAAAACCATTACATGTGTTGGGGCCCTGATCTCCTGGGGAGAGCCGAACACCTGCCAGTGGGAATGAATTCCTCGTTTTGCTTTGCTTGTGTGCGCAGTTTTGCTTTCCTTAGTAAGAAGTTTTATCTCAACCATGAGTTCTCCATATTTTTCCCCTTCTGATTCTCTCCCTGATCCTGTTGGTTGGGGGAGTGAGTTAGTGGCTGTGTGGGGCTTGATTGCTGACTGGGGTTAAACCACGGCAACGAGAGCTTTGACTCGTTGAATGTAGTTATGAAATTCTCAAGATGTTTTTGACTTCCCTATTAGATTCTAATTCAATATTGTACAGGCAACCAAACTGTTATCTAAGGTAGATGTTTAAATGACATGCAAAGATGCCTGTTGCATATATATTAGTAATAAATAATTACCAATGTTTTTTGACATTCTGATCTTATAATTCTGTATTTTCTTTGCTTTCATCACACAAAATTTATAATAAAGATTTCCATTTCCATTTGTGAGACACACATTTATCAGAACTTTGAATGGTAATACTTACATTCTCAGTTAATTTCACCAGTTGGAACTATGTATGATTCTTCTTGTCACTATTAAGTGAATAGAGTGCATTCATGTATTTACAGGGTGGGTTCTTCTGTTATCAACTGTTTTCAGATCAGACTTTTTCCAACTAACCAAACAGTAATTTATTATTAAATAAATCCTTCACACACTCAACAACCACTGCCCAGGACAGAATATTAAACCAGCTTAACAACCACTGAGGCTTTGATACAAACTGGTCTGGGGCCATGCTCATGAACCAAGTTCAAAATACAGCCTCCATGTCCTATATATTCTCTATAGAATATATAGCTTTACCCAAAACCCAGGAAGCAAACCAGAAAAAATCTCTGCATTCCTTAACATGAAAGACAACTGCTGGACAGCATTAAGGGAGATGGGTAGAACACAGTAAGGAAAAGCTTGGGCTAACCTTCCACTTACAATAACTACTTATAAATACAGGGTTACTTGTAAGGACCAAAATACAGATAGCTGGCTCTTCTCTCTTCTCTCACCCTACCTGGGTGAGGAATAACTTCTCCCTGTACTTAGCTGGCTGCCAGCTTTTATTTTCAGTTTTCTATTGTTTAAAAGTTTGCAGAAAACTGTTACCACAGATTTTTCATACTTACTCTTTACTTTGACCAATCTCATTTTGAAAAGCAAGCCTCACTGGTTTTCTACTTCTATAAGATCTGGTTATTATCATAATTTCCTGAGCTCTGAGAGTTTGTTAGGTACCGGTTGAAACATAAAAGAAGGTATTAGTGATGTCTCAGATGGCTTACACTCGTCACTATGAATCCCGTATTCCTGCTAGGAACTAAAATCAGATTACTCTTTCAATGAGATATCTTGGAATAGACTGCCTGCCATAGGCAAAAGATATGGTCCTGTATTATACTGTTTGGCTCTAGTTGGTAAAGTTTTAAATAATTTTTAAATCTGGATGATGCAATGGGGAAATTTAATGAAAAGGGACTTCAGGACTCCCGAACACAAGATGGGAGGCAGTGACAGACAAGATACAGAAAGAACAAAGACGAGAGGAAAATTTAAAAAGGTTGCAGAGGCAGAATAGAGGTCAGCAAAGAAAGAAATGAAAAGCAAGAAATTTGTCAAGAACAGATAAAATTTCTCATTGGAAAATGGTGACTAGTAGAGGGCAGTAAAAAGTGGCACATGACAAAAATTGGTAGGAGAATGCTACCATTGGAATGATGATCTTACTTCAGAGAATGTACTAAGAAAGGTAGGAACATATTTCATATTGAAATGGTTCAGCAATATGATATGAACAACAAAATGAGTTTGAGAAAACAGTGAAACTGAAGGATAAAATTGAATATAACTAGAGAGGTTCAGAGAATAAAGATCAGTACAGATATTGGAGAGAAAAAAAATTTGAAAAAAAGGTGAAAGGATTGACAATAAGAGGCAAAGGAAAGAGTGCAGTGGAGAAACTTACAAAATGAGCAACTGAGAAGAGAGGGGAAAAAAACCTCAGAAAGCAGATTTCAAGAAAAAATCAGCAACATGTAAAACTTGCTTACTTTTTCTGTTTCAACAGAACACTATTCTTTTATGAGCTTGAAATTAACTGCTTATGCATGCCTAGTACTTTAATTTCAAACCAAATGGGAATGATTTTATTGTTGCTATATGCAAGGTGTATCTTCTAGCCCAAAAATATTGTGGTGACGCTCTGTTGTTGTTCCCCTTTTGACTTTTTAAACCAGTGTAATAAACCTAGAATCAGATGATTCTATGAACACGAATTGGAAGGAACCCACAAGGATTAATGAAGTCCAGCTCCTGGCCCTGCACAGGACAGCCCCAAGAAAATAATGCTGAATTCAAAACGATAAGGCAATACAAATCTCAGAATATAATGTTGCTACAATAGGCCTGAAAAGTGATATTCACGTAAACATTACTACTGTGAGAAATACACTTCAGTAACTTATTCTTGTTAGTCTATCAGCTAGATAGTCTTTATGTTAAATCAGTGAGTTTAGCATTCAAAAACTTTGACCTATCCATCACACTTGCTGTTGAATGTCCAGCCATATAAAATTTTTAATTACAGAGACATACATTTTTAAATTTGCTAGAAACTTCGTTTCATTAATTCTGCTTATACACAAACTGTTAGCAGCAGAATTTAAAAAGCCTGCTAAAATAGTAGGATATGTGAAAGTCTGCTTCCTAGAGGTTAGGTTGTATGAGGTTACTGAAATGTTAGTGTCTCAAGCAACTATACATACGGCAAAAGGCTTATGTATAGCAAGTTATGCATATTGTAAAGTAGCAATAAATAAATTAATAGGAATTTGGGAAAAAAAGTCCCTCATCAGGAATCAAATCATACTACCTAAACTGAGCACCACTCTCAAGGAAATCTGCAGGCATAGTCAATGACGAAGAGAAAATAACGGCCTTGTATTTCATCAGTATCACTGAGTGGTAATAAGCATTGCATTTTATTTCATCTTATCCAATGACTAGCTGTATGACTCTTAAGAACTAATTTAATTTGCCTATTTTTGCATTAAGAGAATTTAGGCAATTACAATAACTTAACAGTCTTCCCAGAGTGGGAAGATTAATTTTTTCTATTAAGTTTGGTTTTGATTTAGAGAATAGCATCTTCACAGCTAAGGACCTCTGCAGTTATGTTATATATGGATCAGGTTAATGAAATTATAGCTGAGGCAATCTATAGTACTAGACAATAATCAAAATGTTTTAAGATCCTATAAATTCAGGTATAAGGAGATTTTTATATTTTTTCCATACTCCTAATCCTGGTGTTTCAATAAACACTAAATATTTGTCTTCCATGTTCTATTATATCTTCTAAACAGTCTCTGCCTTTCAATACTAAATTCTGCTTATTTTGTTTCCCTGCTGACTTTATTTTCCTGTCTCATTTACAGGATCCTCTTTCAATCACTTTGAAAGTGTTCAAATTACCAGATTCTACGCCTGACTAACCAATATTTAAGAAGTCAGAACTAGAGGTGGTGGTATGCTGTAATCCTTGTAATTACTTCAGGTTTTGGATGACAAAAGCAAGACCAGTTTTCAAACATGTGGAGCATTTGTAACTTCATGAAAAGGGTGTAGTACCTCTCAGCCCTACTAACTAAAGGTATTCCAAAATGAAGTTCACAAAAGTCAGTGATCTTAGAAATTTTCTTTGAACAGGGCTACACAGCAAGCTATGCAAGATTTGGCAACATAGCCCTGGAATGACTGAACCCATCTTACAGTTTACTTCTATCAGAATTGGTATTTATGTTCTGAGGATGTTCTTATGAAGATGATTTTAAGGCTGTCTAAAAATCTGCTCTTGTGAAACATTTCCAAAGAATCTACATCTCTTCCTCTTCATTTTTCTTACACTGAAAACATTAGGAGTAGCCGATGTTTTTCTCTTGAGAATTTATTAATTCATACCCTATAAAGCCTGAAGAACATTCCTATTCTGTAAGAAAAGCATGGAGCACTCATTTCCCTGGAACTGAGCTCAGCATGTTCCCAGGTACACCTTTTGCAGTTTCAGCTCCTCAAAGTACTAAACTGAGGATTTAAGCTTGAACGCAAATTTGGGTTCCAACCTATTTTCAATAAAAGTTTCCATTCATCTTTCTTAATTCCCACGTTCATTACTTTCACACACAATATAATTTCAAAAGCTCAAAACATACTTTCTCCAATACTCAGGTTCTTAAGCCAGCACTATGTTGGCCCTGCTCTGAATGCTGTAAATACATTTGTATGCTTCCCGCAGCCATTCTCCCTAGAGATCTTTAGATGTTTTAAAATTAAATTAATCCTGTATAGATCAAATAAAATTCTAGCCTATCCAAGTTGGCAGTGCCATACTGAGGTCCTCAATTTGCAATGCAACCATCTTTTTCTTTGACAGGCTTAGAAATGTCTTTGAAACAAAATATTATTTTCATCTGCAACAAAACAGAAAGCAGTAATTTTGACATAAGATACTTTGAAAAAACTTCTAGGCTTACCTGCAATGTACAACCATAGGTCCAGCATCAGGTGGGTTGCAAGTCTTGACTCGTCTCAGGAAAGCTAAGAATGGTGTCGGGTGTTCTGGGACACCATGATCAGGCCAGGCAGTAAACTGGAATTGCCTCACTTCCCTTTTCTCACTTGAACCATTCTATGAAATTTAAAATTTTCATGACAAAACTGCCACTTCAAATGATACTGGCACTTTTCAATGAAACAACTGCAGAAGCATATATACCAGTGAAAATTATTTACACCACATTTGGAGCCAGAGAGAAGCAGAACTCCGGCTACAGAGGAAAATCCAAATTACAAGGTTCAAACAACGAAGCTTTAACTATACTGCGGAGTTGTGCATCACAGGTACCAGAGCTTTAGTTAGTATTCTAGTTAGTATTAAATGGTTTTTCATGGTGAGAGCTCTGTATTAACTTACAAAACTCAATATTATAAGGAAAACACTTTCTGTAAAAGAAGTCTCTTTGTTCAGCACTGTTAATAGGAAACAAGGGAGAAAAGTGGAAGGAGGGGAAGGGGAAAACGGGAGTGAGGAAATAAGGGAAAAAGGCAGGCAGGGAAGGTATGAAAGCAAAAGGAAGAAGGAGGGCAGGATGGCAGGAGTAAGAAAGTGATAGTAAGGCAGGCAGGCAGGCAGGCAGGTAGGCAGGCAGGAAGAAAGGAAGGAAGGCAGGCAGGAAGGCAGGAAGGCAGGAAGGCAGGAAGGAAGGCAGGAAGGAAGGCAGGAAGGAAGGAAGGAAGGAAGGAAGGAAGGAAGGAAGGAAGGAAGGAAGGAAGGAAGGAAGGAAGGAAGGAAGGAAGGAAGGAAGGAAGGAAGGAAGGAAGGAAGGAAGGAAGGAAGGAAGGAAGGAAGGAAGGAAGGAAGGAAGGAAGGAAGGAAGGAAGGAAGGAAGGAAGGAAGGAAGGAAGGAAGGAAGACAGGAAGGAAGACAGGAAGGAAGGAAGACAGGAATACAGGAAGGGGAGGGAAAATATTGCTAACCTTCCAGTTTAAAAGTATATAGTAAGTATATATACCTTATAAAGTGCAAATGTACGAACACAGTATGTTGCCAATTCAACAGTGTCTAAAAGGGTTACTTGGATTAGTCCGTAGGTTTCTGTGCCTCTGCTTGGCCAGTATTGATCGCACTTCACCTGTAGTAAAAAATATGTAATTGTTTAATGTATTTAATACTGATATTCATTATATAGCTGACTGTATGTCATCACAGGTTTTAAAAGTATTTGGAGTTAGAATGGTCAACAACTGCTAAGGATCCAACACAAGAAATTTATTTTGATCCAACACAAGAAATTTATTTTATCATCCTTAAGAACTGCTTTTCTGGTGGTAGCTATTACAATGGTTTTCTTCCATAGCGGGTATTTGGAAATTCAGTGGGACAAGATAATTGAGAAATACCAATAAGCACAGACACACTAAAGAAAAAAACCAATTTATAGTATCTTCAAATATGACTTATATCTTCAGTAACTTGCCTTTCATAGTTCGCAATTTATTAACAGTATTAATCCCCTCAAGGTAGATGGATTTTTTTTAATATTTGCCATATTTTACATTAGTTCGCAAACATATAAGCTATTCCTTGGATCTTAATATTTAGTATGTATAGAAATATCTCAGTAAAAACCTGAATTTTTTTGAGAAATAATTTCAGTACACCGATAAATGAAAGGGCAGGAACAACTATTAAGTGCATTGTAAGAAAATAAATTTTCCTTCTCAGATCGGTGTTAGGAAGGATATAAAGAAATTTTGTTCACAGGCATTTTAGAAGTACGGTTTGGTGGAGAGTTCATCCATAAAATTTTAAAAGACACAGGACATTTAATTCAGAGAAATCTTCATTTCAAAACACTATAGTTTATATTATTAACAAAATTAAATAATTCTGTATAAGATGATACATAAGAAAACTGTATGTTTATCATCATTGTTAATGCTCAATAATCCGTTTCAGTAAAAAATGGTATTTATGATGAAAGCTATTATGAAAATAGAAATGCTGAGCCTCTAAACAAATCAGAAAGTGTAGTAAGAAGTAGTACGGGGATCATATAATTGCAAATATTTTTCTTTCAGTGGCTGATAGGTGAAACTGGGACAGTCATTCTCTGTTCTTCTTATAACAATATATTCTAATCAAGTAGCCTTGCATACAGTACAGAAAAGAAGTTTAAACTGAGTCCAGCAATAATACACTGCTTTTGTTTAGTAAATGCCTTCACTAGTCACTCTAAGCCAGGTTCACACCAAATTAAATAAGAATACCCAAAATGTAAGAAACAATAGGAAAAAAAAGCAGAATATTGCACAGTATTTCCGATTTAAAAAAAAAAAAAAAGTGAATAATCAAGAGAGAAACTGATTATTTCCCCAAATTCGAAAATTAGGATATGCATTTTTGAAACCCATGTGCTCTCCAGGTTTTTCATTCTGCAGTATACTCATTGCAAAAGACTCAGTATGCTTTCAAACTCCCCAGTCCCAAAATAGCTTTTGCTCACAGATCATTTTATTTTGAGGCTCACAGGTCACAGATCACTAAAGGTTCACAAATGAAGGTCTGAGAATGAATAATCTAGATAAAGAGGAGAAGAAATTCTAGCCACTGAAGCAGGTGATGAGAATTCATTAGTAGCAAAAAACCCTGAAACAATTTTTTTACAAGAAATTATAGCTTAATTCATAGATAAGGAATTGGAACAAAGTAACTAAAGATGTTTATTGATACTGCGGTATTAAAAATTGGGATTAATAGTGCAAAAAATTCTCTTATTAAGAGGATTTAAGTAATTACTTCCTTGTATAATTTATTGAAGTATTGCAAATATTTCATGAATATTAATGATTTGCAAAATTCCTAATACTAAAGGAAGCCACTGTGGTCTTTGCAAATCAAACAGAAAAGTATAATTTGAATTGAGACATTTCAATATTGTTATAGTCAATCTAGTTTCACTTTAATACAGAAACAGTGTAGCATGTCTATATTGGTTACCTGTATTTTAAACAAAGTAATATTTTTATTTATTAACTCCATAAATTAAATGTTTCATGGAAAATGTTAATATATAATAACTGCAGTTTGTAATCTTAGAAATTACAGGTTTAGTGTAAACTTCTGACCAAAGCTTTTTTTGTTTGAATGTTTGTTTGTTTTTTTTTTAATTAATAACAATTAATTAGAACACCTTAAATTAAAACAAGGAATAAATGTCTGGTTATGCCTTTGCATGCTTAAATATGAAATAATTTTCTTTAAACTGCAGTTTTCACATAAAAACCGTATGCTCATAGAAGCGGTGCCAGCTTCCAGAAAGCATTCCTGAAAAATTAACCAGTTTCCAGTTTGCAAACAACAAAAATTAATCTGTTGAAAAGGACAGAAAATACTTCTTTTATTTTGCATAGTTATCTAATGTTAAGCATATATTGAGACTTAAAAGCCTGTGGAAAATTGCTCCTTCTCAGCGAGGCTGGGAGAAATTATATGTGCGTACTCCTTTTGGTGCAGATTTTGTTTGGTGGTTTGTTTTTTTTTTTTTTTTTTTTTTTTTTTTTTTTTTTTTTTTTTTTTTTTTTTTTTTTTTTTTTTTTTTTTTTTTTTTTTTTTTTTTTTTTTTTTTTTTAATGTGTTTATTTAACATAAACTTCAATAATAGTATAATTTTTCTAAAATGCTTTCTGTGAAAGCTGATGCAGAGGACTGCTGCTGGAAGCAGACACCAGGTATTCAATCAGAAATATGGTTTGTAGACCAGTGTACATATTATTTGAAATGGGGAAACTGATGAAAGCAACTTTTTTAAAAAGAAAACCTGATTTTAGATGCATGTGGATTTGACTTTCTGGAAGAGCACATGAAGCATAAGTTGAATGAACTGCATCTTTTATTCCTTTTGGCTACTGATTTTTCTCAGCACATGAGATCTTCAGAAATGTGTCCCTACACTCTGTGTGATCATAAACCTTACATTCCCAATACTGCTAACAATTTAGTCCAGTTTATCTTTGTGAGAGATCAACACAATGTTTTCTATTGGACTTCACTGGGAGCACAGAGCCAAATAATACAGGTTAATTGGTAAGATACCACTTTCTGAGACAGAGCTCTTATTAAATATTTTATCTTAAGATCCCAGTCTTCAGCACTTAAAGTAGGAGAGGTTACATATTACATGTTTTTCTTCTGAAAAAGATTCTCAATCCCCTTGAGTCATCCAAAATTTAACACTAAATGTCAAAAAGTCAATTTTGAAATTATTTGCCAAATGTGTTTTTGGCTTAGATCTTTCATCCACATTTAATTTCTCTGTGGTAAGGGCAATTTCTTCCTCACTTGTGTACATTGTTTGGAAAAAAAAAATGTGGCAAGGTATGGTGACGATAACACAAGTCCTCCCCAGAAATACAGTGTTTATTTATTTTCATAGTTATTTTGTAATAAACCTTTCATATTCTTCACCTTTCTTTTATATATGTAGCTCCCAGTTCCAAGAGGTGTCCTTTTTCCTAGCAGACTATATTTACCTGCACCTAGTGAGAGTTTTTCTGTGCCTCCAACTGTACATGAGAATGGCTTTCGTTAGTAATTATATATTGTTCTCTTGCCTGCCACTAAAATGGCAAGAGGAATGAAACAGACACATGAATGTGTAATAACTCACTGGTGATTCAAGAATGTTTTTTATAGAGAAATTAAATTACAAGTAATGACAAGCATATTACTACTTTCACTATATTATGATTATAGGTTGCACACTCCCAAAACTACGATATCTGAGATCAGAGTAGCTCTTCAAAGACTACTAAACATATTAACATATCTTCTAAAATACCGTAGTAGTAGACATAATTAGAATATAGAACTAAAATTGCCACATTCTCTTAACCTGCCCCTCAGACATACACATATTTTCTTTCTCTACATTTCTTCCCCTCAGACCATACAAATCCTTGCTTTTCATGGAAGTACAAACAGTCACTGAAAGCAAAGCTGTAAGAAAATGTAAATGCTTCATTTTCCGTTAAAAATTAGAAGCTTGAGACCTTTTCAGACTTGAGGTGTTTAAGTAGCTACAGCATTCCTAAGAACATTCACGGATATTCACACTTCAACAAGTCACAGACACTAGAGAATGTGCTGCTATGCATCAACAGAGCTGAAGGATGTGTATTTCCATATGAACATATGAATACAAAGATTCCTGACATTCAAGGGTAGAGAAATAATTTTCCAGTATAAAGTTCCATCATTCAGGCTGAAAAGCCCCTTCAGGTCACTTTTAACACACAAACCAGCCCTTGCAGACCATCTGAGATAATAAGGCCAAAACACAGAACAGGAAAGAGACAGCAAACTAGTAACAGGCAGATTCAAATAGCACATTTCTTGCTGTAAGAGCAGCATATGAACTATGATGAATTTAGAATACAAAATAACAGTAGTATGTAACAAACTTTCTGCTCTGATTTTCTTACTACTAATAATACTTTTGCAGACAAAAGTTTCTATAATATTTTGAGACGATTTTCCTTCAAAAATAAATGGTGTTCTCTACATTGTATCTCTGACGGTGTTGAATGTATCTCTACAATGGCGTTGAATGATAATAATAATTATGCAATAAAAAAGGTAGTGCCAGTTGCTGGTCATGGAAACTGCCTCAGACATTTCAGGTAATATTCTGTCTCAAAAACAGGTATTACTCCAAAGCCATTTTCTGTTTTGCAACAACGCCTTGCCACCTAAAGAGTAGGCTGATTTGACACTAAGAATCATAGACACTGACAACAGTATATGAGACTATAATGCAAAGTCACTCATTGACTTCAGTATAACTCTAAACGACAGAATAAAATATAAACTCCTAGTCACAAATAAGGCAGAAAAGAAAATGTTTTAAAGTTTTAGGTTTTGGTCTTAATTACAGTAGCCTCAGAAAAAAAGTTCCAAACAGGATTTGGAGGCAACACAAATGAACTGCAGACTAATAATTCATAACAAACTTTAGTTCTCTACTAAGTCTTCCAATCCACCCTCTTACACCCTCACTTTCTGAAATTTGTGATATGATTAGTAGGCTAACAGTTAATACTGAAAGATAATTGATAATTAAAGAGATTACCC